CATGAGTTTACTTTTATACCCAAAAAATTGAAATCCAGGCTATTTTTTCATAATACACATTTCCTGTGAACTTCTTGAAGATCCCTCATGTGTGCAAGTATATGTATTTAAAAATCATAAAATATTACTACAAAATCATAGAAACCTTTCTTAAACAACCATGTCAAGTTGTGAAGCTATTATTTCTCAATACATCCTTTATCTGTCTATACATGTCTGAAGGCAGTGTTTCCATCTATAACCCTTAGCCAAGGAATTTTACGCTCTTCAATTCCTACCCATCAAAACAGCTGTTTGGGAACCCATATGGAGCCCTTTGTAATCTTTTTTTTTTTTTAAGTTTGGGAAACAAGTCTGAAGCAGTAAGACTAGTGAGGTGAATAGTGAGTAAGACTAGTGAGGTGAATAGGGTCAGGTTTCCCAATGAAATTCTCATAGACAGATCTTGCTCCCTTGAAGAATGAACGGGGGGGGCACTGTCATGATGGGGAGAAAATTCCCCAGCAACACTTTCCTGGCTACCTTCTCACCAGTCTAGTTTTCAGTTTTCTATAAGCTTCCTAAGAAGGCCCTGTGTCCTTGAAGAAATCCATCAAGATTACTCCTTTGGAATCCAAAAAACACAACCCTCCACGGTGACCTCTCTACCTTGAATTTAACTGGCTCAGTAAATCTCAGAAGCCAATGCTTTGATTGGACCTTTTAAAAAAACAGCTTCCCAAGAAGAGTAAAATGAGTGTATTATTGAGTGAACTTGCCTGCAACCATCTACTGATCACAGAGACATGTGTGAACATACTTTGCTTAGAATAAACTCGTACATATGTGAACAGCAACCCTAGTAGAAATACATTTTGCTGTATTGTGTGTGTGCTCATAATTAAATATATATAACATAACATTCACATTATGAAACATTTAAAAATTAAATGTAGAAGTTCTAACATTCTTGGACACTGTTCTACAGTGTGAGTGAAGAGCTGCTAGACCTCAGCCATGGTTTCTGTTGAAATGCCGACATGCTCACCAAACTTCATGAAAACTTTAAATTGGTCTTAATTAGACTTTGGCTCCCTAACATGCCCTAAATTCTTCAAATACAAAGCAACAAAACCAGCTCCCTAACCTCATTACCCTCAGTTTTTAAAAAAATCTTTTTATTGAGGGCTCATACAATTCTTATCACAATCCATACATACCTCCATTGTGTCAAGCACATTTGTACATTTGTTGCCCTCATCACTTTCAAAACATTTGCTTTCTACTTGAGCCCTTAATATCAGCTCCTCGTTTCCCCCCTCCCTCCCTGCTCCCCCTCCCTCATGAACCTGTCATAACTCATAAATTATTATTATTTTGTCATAGCTTACACTGTCCGACATCTCCCTTCACCCACTTTTCTTTTGTCCATCCCCCAGGGAGGAGGTTATATATAATCGCTTCCCCCTTTTTACCCCAACTTCTCTCCACCCTCCAGATATCTCTACTCTCACCACTGGTCCTAAAGGGGTCATCTGTCCTGGATTCCCTGTATTTCCAGTTCCTATCTGTACCAATGTACATCCTCTGGTCTAGCCAGATTTGTAAGGTAGAATTGGGGTCATGATAGTGGGGGGAGGAAGCATTAAAGAACTAGAAGAAAGTTATATGTTTCATCGTTGCTACCCTGCACCCTGACTGGCTTGTCTCCTGCCTGCAACCCTTCAGTAAGGGCATTACCCTCAATTTTATGTGGTTTCTAACAGCCATAGTCACTGATTGATGTGCCCAACTCTGAATCTAGGAATTGGATTGCTTATATACGTTAGACTCTGTTTATCACCAAAGATAAGTCAAGTTGGAGTTAGGGGTGTGTATGAATTTGAAGTGATCCTACAATATCCATCATAAATTGACTTGTTTGTAGCCAATTTAAAAGAAAACTCCAACAGTTGTGATGAGGACAATACAAATTTAAAGGTGTTTTTGGACAGTTTTTAGGGCCAGTTCCTTTCTTATTACAATATAATGACTGTCTCCTATCTGGATTCAAACTAGTTCAAAGCTAACAGTAGAGTCAACATGTGTCATCGAGTAGATTACAACTCAAGTAATCCTTTAGGACAGAGTAGAATTGGCCCATAGGGCTTCCAGGGTGGGAATCTTTACAGGAGCAGATTACCAGGTCTCTTCTTTTGCAGACCCATTGGTAGATTCAAACTGTAGACTTTTTAGTGAGGGGCAGAGCACGGACTTCAAAAAAGTTTTCCCCATGTGATACAGAGTATCCTTTGTTTTTAAAGACATTCCAAGAAGACTAAGCCAAGTGTATGTATTACTGAGAAGTTGATTGCAGTCATCCACTGGTTACAAAAAGTAGTTTAAATGAATATTGTTTGGAATAAACTCATGCATATATGAAATGGAACCCTAGTAGCAATACTTTTTTTTAATCCATGTATATATGTATATATAGATAACATATAAATGTACATATGGGGGGGTCGTAAATGGTTTTATTCTAAAGATTGAACTGTCATAGTTGATAAGTAACCGTAATGTATTGCTTTTAATAATTATATTTATAATTGCTACATTAGCAATGAAAATAAATTATGAGAAGCAGGAAAAGCATGCAATTTCATGAAGATTTTTGATTAATGGAGTAGGTTAACAGTGGCTGATCCTGCAGGGATGTAAGACCCACACCCACAGATCTTACAGGACAGATCTCTGAGAGCATCAGCCATGTGAGATTTATACACCAAGGGTTTTCAAACAAAGATGATAGACCATTCGCTACCTCTGCCCTCTTGGCCAGAGTATAGATAAAAAGATCTCAGAAGATTCCTAAAAACACATAGGTATACAAAATGAAGCCTATAAAACTAAGACAATACTCAAGCAATGTTGAAATTTGCTCCTGGGAGAACATCCCATTTTATGATATTTGAACACATTCTTTCTCCTGTTGGATAGTTTCCTTCTAGAGACGAGTTTGTTTGTTTGTTTGTTTGTTTGTTTTGCTTTGATGTTACATTTCTTCAGTTTTGACTTTCAGTCTTTTCCACTTGGGATAAATCTGGCTCATCGCTCATCTTGCCTGCAGGCTTGATGATCTGCTAAAGGTCAACCCCTGGGTTCACACATGAGCTCACTCAGGGCGAGATTCTTAATGTGGGTTTTTTTCACCTTTTAATCATAACAAATTCAGCTGAAACCTTGTTTGAAACAAGATCAAATGAGAATGAGTGAACAGATATGCCTTCTCCACTGAAGGCATTTACCAATATGTATTCGTTATCCTCAGGAAATTACTACAACCAAGGAGACATTCGGAAGAAAGAACTTTTGCAAAGCTGTGATGTTTTGGGCATTCCATCCTCCAATGTCAAGATTATTGACAACAGGTAATTTTAAAGAGTGCAGAAATTCATCAGCAATAAATGTACGATAGTGTAGTAAAAAGACCCCACAAACTAATCGAGGTGGGCAAGAAAATCTTAGTTCGGAAGTCTACTTAAAATAGTCTCTTTCACATTTACTTTTACATAACAGTGTATTGCAAATAAACTAACCATTTTGGTTCAAGTTTTGTGCCTTAAGATAGCCTTCTTTTCTTTATTGTTTAAAAAAATTCAAAACTACATAAAATCCTAGAGAAATGGCATCATATGTCTGTCACATAAGCTTAACAGTTATCAAGACTTTGTTATATTTGTGCCATCTATTTCCACTTACTTTGTTATGTATTTATGTGTGTGCATGTAAAGGTCCTTAAAGAAAACTCCAGTCATCTAATTATTTTACCCCTATATACTTATATTTACTTGCCTCTCTTAAAATATAGAAATTCTGCTTGATGTGATTGAACTATGGTATGATATGATATATGTATTAACTATCAATAATAATTTTTTAAGATGATTGGCATTTTTTTCATATAGCCACAATGCCATTATTATCACATTTAACAATATTAACATTAATTCTTCCGTATGAGCCAACACCCAGTTAATTGAAATTTTTTTCCATTAACTCAAAGTTACCTTTTTGTAGTTGTTTTGCTTAAATCAGGGTGTAAACATTGTGGTTGGTTGATATTCTGCATTTAATTCCTCCCTCCCCAAATATACCATTGAATATTTAACAGTAGTTGTGGTTTAGAACATCCTGCATTCTGAATTTCTCTGAATATTTCCTCATGGTATTGTCTAAGTTCTTTCATCTACAACCTACTGCCAACTCTTAGCACCCCTCTAGGATCCAGAGTAGAACTGTTCCTTACAGTTTCAAAAACGAAATCTTTTCTGGAACAGACAAATTTATCTTTCTCCCACAGAGAAGCTGGTGGCTTTGAACAGCCAACCGTGCAGTGAACAGCACAATGCTTAATCTACTGTGGTTTATCCTAATTAATGCTCTCTATTTTTCCTTCTCTGGGTTCTTAATATTCATTGTAATGGCTACACAGATCTCAGACACAAATCATGATTAAAGGGTTTATTAAAAATTTTAACTAGTTGCCATGCCAGTGAGAAATGCTCAGGATAGATGTTTTTCAGGACGTGTTACAAAGTTCTATGAATGACATGGCCAGTTGCACTCCTAGTGCAGTAACCTCAGCCCAAAGGTACTTAGCTCTATTTGCATGAATCAGCAAGCCCAGCTTCCTCAACCAAGTAACCAGAGGCATCCCACTTTGAAAGCCAGCTGCCTGCTCAAAAGCCCTCAGCCTTACTTGCTTCACGGGTTGGGGAGTTCTCAATCTGTGGGTGGCGACCCCTTTCAGGGTTGAATGACCCTTGCACAGGGGTAGCCTAAGACCAACGGAAAATACATATTTCTGATGGTCTTAAGAACAGAGACACCCCTCCTCTACCCATCTCCAGGCGGGTCCACCCACATGCAGATACCCAGCATGAAGACTGTTACCCATGGTACACCATGCTTCAAGACAAAATTTCATTTGTTTGTAATTAGAAATAAATATTTTTAGAAAAGAAATGTTTGACAATATATAATGACATTGTTTTGTGATTAATCACTGTGCTTTATGTTCAGTTTGTAACAATGAAAATACATCCTGCATATCAGATATTTACATGACGATTGATAACAGTAGCAAAATTACAGTTATGAAGTAGCAACGAAAATAATTTTTTTTGAAATCGTTTTATTGGGGGCTCATACAACTCTTATCACAATCCATACATACATACATCGTGTCAAGCACATTGGTACATTTATTGCCCTCATCATTCCCAAAACATTTGCTTTATACTTGAGCCCTTGGTATCAGCTCCTCATTTTCCCCCCTCCCTTCTCACCCCCTCCCTCATGAACCCTTGGTAATTTATATATTTTTTGTCATGTCTTACACTGTCCAACGTCTCCCTTCACCCACTTTTCTGTTGTCCATCCCCCGGGGAGGAGGTTATATGTAGATCCTTGTGATTGGTTCCCCCTTTCTACCCCACCTTCCTTTCACCCTCCAGGTATCAGCACTGGTCCTGAGGCGTTCATCTGCCCTGGATTTCCTGTGTTTCCAGTTCCTATCTGTACCAGTGTACACCATCCGGTGTAGCCAGATTTGTAAGGTAGAATTGGGATCATGATAGTTGGTGGGGAGGAAGCATTTAAGAACTAGAGGAAAGTTGTATGTTTCATCGTTGCTACACTGCACCCTGATTAGCTCATCTCCTCCCTGCGACCCTTCTGTAAGGGGATGCCCAGTTGCCTACAGATGGGGTTTGGGTCCCCACTCCGCACTCCCCTTCATTCACAATGATATGATTTTTTGTTCTTTGATGCCTGATACCTCATCCCTTTGACACCTCATGATCACACAGGCTGGTGTGTTTCTTCAATGTGTGTTTTATTGCTTCTGAGCTAGATGGCTGCTTATTTACCTTCAAGCCTTTAAGCCCCCAGATGCTATATCTTTTGATAGCCAGGCACTATCAACTTTCTTCACTACTTTTGCTTATGCACCCAATGGTCTTCGGCGATTGTGTCAGGAAGGTGGGCATCATGGAATGCCAGTTTAATAGAACAAAGTGTTCTTGCATTAAGGGATTACTTGAGTAGGGGCCCAATGTCCATCTGCTACCTTAATACTAAACCTATAAATATATACACATAGATCTATTTCCCCATCATCATATATAAATATATTTACATATGTAAATGCCTGTATTTAGAGCTCTATAAATGCCTTTTGTTTCCTAGTTCTTTCCTCTATTTCCTTTGACTTTCCTCTTGTCCCACTGTCATGTTCAGCCTTCATTTGGGTTTCAGTAATTCCTCTCGGTTACATTGCCCTTGATCAAACCCTAACAGGCATCTTAAACCCTCCTCGCCACTGAGTTTAGATCACTTGTCACTGGGTTTGTTAACACTACTTCCTTTCCCCCACCTTCCCCTCTTCTATGTCCCCCTGCAACTGTCCGTCCTGTTGTTTTCTCCTCCAGATTATTTATCCCCCCTCTCTATATTTCTTGTAAACTAGATAGTAAGGGTAAAACTTGGCTTGATTTTAAGTCTCATCTTGGTGAACAAAAATGTTCACAGTGTGTGCCATGCACATCACATTGCATCACATATTATCTGGTTATATCACATATTATCTGGTTATATCACATATCATGGTTCTCAGACTGATCAGTGAATTCAGAGGACAATGGCTTGTTCCGTCTTTTTTTTAAATCATTTTTTTGGGGGCTCATACAACTCTTATCACAATCCATACATACATCCATTGTATGTCAAGTGCATTTGTACATTTGTTGCCCTCCTCATTCTCAAAACATTTGCTTTCTGCTTAAGCCCTTGGTATCAGCTCCTCATTCCCCCCCACTCCCCACACTCCTTCCCTTATGATTTATAAATTATTATTATTTTGATAATTTATAAATTATTATTATTTTGATAATTTATAAATTATTATTATTTTGTCATGTCATACACTGTCTGATGGTTGTTCCTTGTTTTTAAGACCCCCATTAGCTTTTCATATAATGTTTTCATGATTATTTGCAGAATCAATTAACTAGAAGTTACAAAATGATAAGTTTCTAATTCACATATTCAATGCTTCATCTGAAAATAAAACTACTACTATTTACTTGCCTGGTATATAATTTGAACCAAGAAGACAAGGTAAATGATCATTCTCTCCCTCCAGTTGCCATTTTCTCTGCTAGTTGTCGATGCCATCTCACTGCCACAGAGCCAGTGCTGACTCCTAGTGATCCCCATGGGGTTTCTGAGACTGTTAATGGGAACAAAAGCCCAGTCTTTCTCCCATGGAGCTGGTGGTAGTTTAGAACTGTCAACCATGTGGATCACAGCCAAATGCATAGCCACTGCACCACTGGGGCTCCGCATGTCAATGCCATAGTTACTTCCAGTGGTTATCCAGTGTCATTTATTTCTTGGAGTAGTAGGTGCAATTTTCTTAAACATTTCATGAGGAAGTTAGATGTTTGTATATATTCAGTGTTTCCATTTCAGTCATTATTTTATTTGATGTTCAAATTATCTCATCTTTGGCCAGCGAAAACCTTTTCATGTTAATTCGTACATTCATTTCATATGACCCCCTTTGCAATTTAGGGTTGCCTTGCTTTTGAGAACAATATTTTCCATACCATCTTCTACACTTTCCTGCTCCAGGCCTAGAATCAGCCATTCCCCCAAGATGCCTTAGTTTTTCTGAGTAGAGACGATTATGCAGGGACCGTCATCAGGGCACCAGAGTGTTCATTGCTATTAAATAAAAACAACCCTCACTGTCATCGAGTCATTTCCAGCTTCTGCTGATTCAGAGAGATTTGTAAGACAGAGTAGTATTGTCCCTGTGGGCAGTCGAAAGCCTTATCACCCTCAGAGAGGCTGGTGGTTTCGAACTGCTGACCCTGCAGTTCGTGTATCCCACTATACCACCAGAGCCCCTGTTCCTTACCATCGTATTATATTATTTCCCATTGGTGTTTGACAGGGACTTCTAGAACAGACATTCAGACACCTAACCTCCTGAATACCAAAAACAAGTTTCTGTTTGTTAAAACCACCCTCTGGTAGTACTCATATATCTGTTATAACTGCACTAAATATCTAAGGCAACAATGAACTGATTTGACTGCTGATTAAGAAAGGCATTCTTTATCATGTTAGGAACTATTTATTATTGTAGGGAATTGATGTGTATTGTGTCCACTTAGGGGGGGGGGACTCAAATTCTTTCAGTGCCATATAAAAAGATGAGTAAAATATTCACTTTTATTTTCAATTTTACTTGGTTCAGAGTAAACTATTGGGATAAAGATGGGAGAACTTCTCTCTTTATGCCAGCTGATTTAATGCTTTAAAGAGCACCAATTGAGAGCCAGACTGCCTCGATTGAAAC